GGACCAGTGTCAACTCAGACAGAAGATGACACGACAGGCTGAATTGAGAGTTGATTTAATGCTGTACATATCTACATGTGCGCGATCTAAGCCTCACGCCGAAGTCTCTAGCTGCTTATTCCCGACATTTGTCTGGACGGGGTGGAACGAATTGCTAAAAGAGCTGTATGGCTTCGGCGAGATCACTCTGAGCGTCTGTTGCATCGGTGGCGAGGCGGCGTCTTCGTCGTCGTCTTCGGCGCCCGTCCGCGAGGCCGACGCTTCCAGAAGGTCACTTAGCGCAGTCTCTAGTTCGCTGAGCGATGGCGTCATCGAAGACCGTCCACTGCTGCCATGACTGGTTGGCTCTCGCAAGGTAGGCGGCAGACCCAGCTCTCTCAGAACCTGCTGAGCCCCGCTGTCCTCCATCTTGCCCTCGGAGGTCTGGAACTCTTTAAGCAGTCGGAGGAGAGTCGAATGCGTCGGTTGTCCTCCATCTGGGTGACCCCATTTCTCTGGCGGTTTGGATTTCGTGTTCTCTGGGCTCGGCGGCGGAGTCTTAAGACCGGTCTCTTTGAAACCGTTCATAAGAGTTAAATCTGCAGGTGTTTTTTTCAGGTTTACGAAGTCGTACACAAGGACCGGATTGTCGATGGATTCAGCCCTTGGTTCGGATAGACTGCTTTCGCCTTTATCTTCCTGTGTTCGATCCTCTGTAGAGGATGCTGGATCCAGTTTGCACTCAGATGAACTCGTCTCCGTTTTGTGTAACTCGCTGTCCGGCGTCCTTCGAGCTCTTTGTGGTGGAAGCATGGTTTGTGGTGGGCTCGCCTCATAAGCTTCGCAGTGTTCGATGACACGGAGGTCCCAATCGTCTAGTCCGTCAAACGAATCGTCGCTCTCGGAGGAATTCCTCTGTGCACTCTTTAGTTTCTGCTGTTCTGGCTTGAAGGCACCGAAACTTCTACATCTCCTAACGCAGTTTTCGATCTTCTCAACTGTCAGTGAGCTGATGCCCGGGCTCTTTCCCGACAGGGGCATGCACGATTCATTTATCATCGGCGTCCCGTGGCCAGAGGCTGGCTTCTCGTTGTATACAGACAGGGAGAGATCGGAGTAGTTTGGCAGAGATACAGTGGACAGTGTCTTCTGCCTCCGTTTCTTGTTGGCCACGTCAGGTGGTTGTGGCGGTGGAGGGCGGGGGACGGACTTCCATCTCTCCTGTTGCAAACGCTGTTGTTTCTTCTTCCTAGGCGGAGGTATTGGTGTTCTGTTCTCGTCTGGTGAATCGGGGACGCTGAGAGACGCGATCTGCCATTTAGAATTTGCGTTCAATGCATGCGTAGCGCTGATGGGCTGGTGTCTGGTGTGGATAGGTTCTGGCTGGCTTACGATCGGTCTACTCGTTACTCTGCAACAGAAAGTTTCATTTTAATATTGTATATCCGACATAAAAACATAATCAGAACCCCAAAGCAGTGGAATTACGCCTGAATTTTTTTTTAAATGAGCTCAAAGTATCGCTTTCTGAGTTCTCTGTTTGGTTCTCGTGTAGTAAATAAATGCCCTTGGTGTTTGAGCATTATCCCGAAACTTCATGGGCTATATTCGAAGACAATTTGTCTCTCCCATTGGCCGCGTGAACTGTAGGCGCCCACTACCTTAAGACATGCGATGGCTGGGATCAGATAAAATATTCACGGACTAAGAATTCTTGAAGATCTCCCTGACAATCCGGGAAAGAGAATTCTGAGGAATGTAGACAGAAATAAAGTTACTTACGCAGAAGATGGCTGTCTTCTGGGTTGTAGCGCATTGTAGCACTGTAGAAGTATGTCACTCATCGCCCTGATGATGGAGGCAGTATGACCTCTGAAAGTCGGTAAACGTCTACCAGACTAGACGGCGCTACGTCCCAGAAAATAGCCATCATCGGAGTCACCGCCGTGAAAACCTCAAATCCTACTTAATCATATTTTAACGTGTATTATAAACTGAATTTGGCAGAATATTTTGTGTTGAGGAAAGGCGAGGTACTATTTTTTTTTTTTTTGGTGATTAAAGTCCATTATATTTCCCGGGTGCAAACTTGTGTCCTTGAAACGATGATAAAAATACGGTGTGATATTTATAATGAATGGTTAATAAAACGGGTGACATGTATGAGGAAGTTATATAAAGGGAAAAAATCTATAAAATGAGAAATCCCAAAATGACGAGAGGAAAAATCCTTTCTTCAGGATTTCACGTCTCACCTGTCAGTGATGTTCTTGCTGTTCTCGGAGGCCCTCGGTCTCTGGTCGGTGTTTGGACAGATCTGAAATCGTACAGAATCACTGGTGAAATGTAAAGTCCCCCAGTGGCTCACTCCACAGTTGTTCAGTTTGCAACCTCCCGCAACTGGACAGTCTGTCTCCGCAGTCTGATGTTCAACGGCAAACACTTCGCTTCAAGGACGCGTTTAAAATTTTCGTATTGATTGACATCTCTAAAACTGGCAGATGCCTCAGGCATAATTTGTGTTGCAGATGTTCATTGCGTGTGATAATGACGCTTATCGACCTTCATAATTCCATATAAAAGCGTTAAAAAGTTTATATTATAACAAATTCGTTTGAAGATTATTTATTTTCCATGATGTGGCGGGTGGACCGCCAATCCTCATATTATTCTCTGCTGTTTTACCTGTCCGTAAAACCAAAAAAATTACTGTTCAAGATCTGTACAGTTTCTCGAAATGTGCCATGATTGCTTAATATCCGTCAACGGCAATAAGACTCAATATTCTGTGTGACGCGACAAACCTCTCAGTAAACATGAGTTGCTTTCCGCAAGCACCGCTAGATGGCAGAGAGTGTCAAACAAGTGCCCCCCCCCCCCCCCCCCCATGTCTAAGAATAGTTTCATACCAATTTTTCGTAGGTGTAGACCACACGCATTTAAAAAATACATTATCTTCCCTTCCGCTCCACAAACACTAAAGATGAAGACATAAAAGATTGCGCCGTTGCCAATTTTAACGTTTTCAGTCGAGTGATTAACATTCTGCTTCGTAATCGGGAGATCACACGTTCAAACCTCGGCCCGGAGATCGGCTCTCATGTTTACGTTGTAATATAAGGATTGCAGATGGAGGACAAACATCTCTGTCCACAATTCAATTGTGGGCACCCCTCAGTAGTATGTACAAGTTAGAGGGATGGGAGGGGGGGTACACAGTCCACACTGCTTATATGCGCAGCGAAGAATTGTCCTGCCACGTCACGTCTCACTCCAGCACTGATTTTAGTGTCGGCGTTGGGCCGATTACGTCATCGGACAGTACGTTGTACGAGATCGTCTCGATGTGACGCGTTTGCTTGAAGAAACGATCCCATTTTTTTATTAGTGTGCTCCTCTACATGAGCCCTAAAGCATGTGGTTTCAACACGATGGTGCCCACTTCCCATTTTTCACGTCGCCTGGGCAGTTGTCTTGACAACAGTTTTCCGGAAGGTGGATTGGGCGTGGAGGTCTGATTCACCAGGCCCCCAGTGGTCTCCTTTTATTTGTGTGGGAATGCTTTAAAGTAAAATGCCATGACATTGAAGTTCGTGCGATGTCTAAGAGATGGCTCTAGCAGACAGTACCTAGACGACTAGTTTCCGTCACGGGCTTAATTTGACGTAGTTATGAGCCATCTTCAGGCGAAGGGAGGACACTCTCCCCACCAACAACCTCCCTAAGTGACTAAACTTTTTCGTAATTCGTACTGTGCGCCATGTTAAACTGATATATAATTTTCGTACAATTGTATGTGAATTTGCTCGTTATTGTTGGTTCAAATGCTAAAACATTGCACGTGCAGTGTTTCGTCCATTTTCAGAGAGAGTGTGTACATATTTCGCCCGGAGTAGTCTGCCTGAAAACATCAGAGCATCGCAAGGCGAGACGTGAACTAATTACCATGTGAATAACTGTGTCAACACACGTACGTCTTTATCTTTATTGTTAAGGTGATCATTACGTCACCATGACAACTGGAGTAAACACGCACCCGGTCTCCAGTGTTGCCAGGCGTACGATTTGATCAGTATGTATATAGCATACGATTTTTAAGTTGGTACATTTCAGCGATTATTTCCTAAAGCGTTAAACGACAGTTGATATATCTAATGGAAATATGTTTTTTTTAAGTACGAACTGGATTTTTAAATAAAATTTAAATGATTAATAAGCTTAAATTTCTTATTCATGAATGGAACGTCTATCTCGTATTTTTATATGAATTTAAAAAATGGTAACAGAAATATATTTACCTATTCCCGTAAAAAGAAATAAGATACTCAAATGTGTACTTCAGTTCGCCCTGATAATGGAGGCAGCAGGCACCTCTGAAACGTCGGTTAAAATCTACCAGACTACACGGCACTACAGCATTGAAAACATTGTGAACCTTCATGGGTTTTTTTCTAAATTGGAGAATTTATTGACTAATATAATGTGAATCTGCTTCTCAAGAAAAGTTAATTAGTTAGATAATTAGATCGTAACAGAATTTTTCATGGGATACGAAGCGTCTTCAACAATTTGTCCTTCATGTGACCACGTCATGGCGGTGTGATCATTCCATTAACCGGATTAAGGTTGGGAGAAATACCATCTCAGCGTCTATTCGGAGTCCAACATCCCCACCACTGGGGGTCTTCGCCTCTTGGCTGGCAACCAATTAGCAGGACACCATCTTGCTTTCAAGATTCATTACAGTATACAAGCCTAGGGAGAAGCGAAGTTTGGAAAGACCACTGAGATGGCATTAAACCATAATTGGCCACAGTATCTGATATCTGACAGGCCGATGATAACAGAATTTGACTTATATTTCTGATAAAATGGTTAACAGCAACATGGCGGCATCTGGAACACGAATGTTTCTTTCGTATTTCTGTACGGTAACTGATTAACGGTGGTCTAGCGGTTAAAACGCTGGCCTTGTAATCCTGGGGGTCTCGGGTTCGATTCCCGGCGGTGCCCGAATTTATAACTTGTGTTGGGCAAGGCCGTGGTCTAGGCAACACGGAGTTTTCCTCCGTGGCATCCCAACAATTACTCCATTCACACACAGAGGAAGGCAATGGCAAACCACTTCTGGATCATCTGCCAAGAACGTATATGAACAGGTCCCAGTCCGAGAAAAGGATGGAAGGATCCAGTTCATATGGACCTGTCGTCAGACAGAACACTAAACAAAAAACTGATTAAGTATTATATACGCATGTCTGCAAATTTATCGTTTAAAACGTTTGTTTAGTTCTCTTTTGGCGTTACTTTCAATAAGAGTATTTTATCTTCAAGTTCATGTATTCTTTGATAACAAAATGCACAGACATTACGTTGAACTGTACAGAGACATAACCTCACTGTTTCTTATTAATTTCGCTGAAATTGTAAAGAAAGCAAAAGCCTCTTTTTTTATTTTTGTAAATTGATAATCTCGCATAGGATTTGAGCTTTGTGAACAAAATTTTATGTAATAAGAGCCGATACGGGACCAAAATTCAATTCGTTGAACAAATTCATCTTACGTAATTCCGGAAGATAACGTCCCTGTGCGCATTCTTCTCACGCGCTACGTACAAGGAACTGAGAACGTTATTTATTAACCGTCCATCAGCAGACGTGCTTAAGTCTGAAATAATTAGGTCCTGTTTCGCGCGTGGTATTTTTATTTTATCACGTAACGTGGGAAAGACAATGAACAGCTTCCACGCAGAAGCAGATCCTGTCGCTCAAACGACCTGAGCAAGTGATTTGCGTTCATTTACATGTCACACGAAACTAAGGGATTGAAGGGAAACACTAAACGATCATGAGCCTCATTTATAATGCGCAAATAAAGACATCGTTACGTAGTCTTAATGCGCATGCGCAATGGAGACTAAAATTGTTTTGTAATTTGTAAAATTTATAAACAGGTTACGTGCAGAGCAGCAGTTGAAAATATTTGTTTAGGGTTTTTACATAATGTTCGGTGTAACACAGAGTCGCGTTCTTATTGCTGATTTGTTTGCAAAATACCGGACGCTACGTACGTCATGACGCAAGGACTGAATGAGGAAAACTGCCTTCATTTTAAACATTGCAAACCACTTTTCTTTAGTCTCTCCACGGCGATACGGAAATCAATTTTCGGCCTGAATTAGGGGACCAGAGAGGTTTGGGAGGGGTAGCAGATGTCGGTAATGTCTTTAGATTACGCGGTACAGTAGAGCAGGAGGGCGGTGGGATAATCAAAAAGGTCGGTTAACACGGAAGACTAATGGAAAAGACGTAACTTTCGACTCAGTAACTCAATTTGCGATATTATTATCTTACGAAGAAAATTCGACATCAAATGGGAAAAAAAAAATCTGTCAAAAACAGGAAACATAAATTTGTATTTTATTTATTTTATTATATTATTTAGTGTTCTGTCTGACGACAGGTCCATATGAACAGGATCCTTCCATCCTTTTCTCGGACTGGGACCTGTTCATATACGTTCTTGGCAGATGATCCAGAAGTGGTTTGCCATTGCCTTCTTCTGTGTGTGAATGGAGTAATTGTTGGGATGCCACGGAGGAAAACTCCGTGTTGCCTAGACCACGGCCTTGCCCAACACAAGTTATAAATTCGGGCACCGCCGGGAATCGAACCCGAGACCCCCAGGATTACAAGGCCAGCGTTATATGAAAGTTTATTTTTTTAAAAGAAATAAATAACGGACATTTGCTTCTTGGCTACATTCGTTTTCTTTGCTTCAAGGTCACGCTAGAGACTGGACAAAAGAACGCCTCTTCAGCGGTTACCTCCCTTTCCCCTCAACGACCAACGTTCTTATGTGCAATCTCGATAGAATGACTCGTGGCACGTAGGATAAAACAGAATATAGGATAATCGTGACTCCGGTATATTTGTCTTATTTTCCTTCTACGCCGCAAAGTAGCGACGTAGACGAAACGCACGGTTCTACCCTGGCAAAACTGACAGATTACGTCTAAATGCTGTTCCCTAGTCGATGACAACGCGAAGTATCTCATGTCTGCCCTGTTAAATTGCGTTTGGAATCAGCCTATTAAAAAATTTTCACGAAGCCATTTTAAGACAAAGAAATCGGTCCGTACCGCACAGGAAACACACTTTAAAATTCTTAAGATCAACTGATTAATGCTGTTAGTCGAGGCAATGTCTGCTCTGAGAGACACACAACACGTATGAATGCAAACTGCAATTATGGGTTCAATCCGACGCTGTATTATCTGAGCTGCTGAAAGATTCTCTAATTACCCGAATCTCGCG